ACCTAATTTCTTCACTTTCCCAAGTGGGAGTTTTCCTGATGTACGGTACGAAAATCCTCACTTACCTTCAGGACAAATCAAGCAGATAAATTTGATAGAAAAGATCTGAGGTTGGAGATCAGGACCCACGGGAGACATCTACCGTCGAAGCTATATACCTGACTGAAGGCGACGAAGAGCACTGAAGTTGCCTAAAGACATCCCTAAGGTGTCCGGAAGACATTCTCCTCAAAACATCGACAAGCGTTTGACGGAAGATGTCTAAAATAAGTTTCTTAGATGTCCTGAAGACATCCCTTCCGAGAAGTTCGAAACTGTCCGAAAGATGTCTTCAGGATATCCTATGAAGACCCTGGGACAAGTCGTCCAGTTAGGGACATCCCTGGGATATCACCGTGCTGTGTGGATACTAAATTTTATCTCTTGGAGATGTCTCCTATATTGGAATTAGGAACAGAATTTTCCTCCCTCTTAATTGGTCAAGAACTTACGATTACGTATTCCTAGATCATCAAATAAAGACATTGCGAAAGTAATGGGTTGTCCTGTGCGGCAGGAAATGAGTCCATTGCAGAAAGGAAGGCACCCGCAAGTACTACCTGGGACTTCTCACTTGTCCCAAGGGGATATCTTTGGAATATACCTGTGCTGTGAGGGTTTTTGCATCTAGGTGGTGCTCAGGTAGATCATGAACACATGAGGTCCATGTGATGCATTTGCGCGGACATACTCATTTTGTTACTGCCTCTTAATTGCTTTGTGCATATGTTGGCTACCCAACCCAAGTTGCTAGAGAAAAAACACACGTAGCCGTACCAGAATTATTGCATTTTAAAGAGAGTCATTACTTTTGTCTCACCCAGTATATTAAAGTTGACTCCATGGTGTACATAAGGGTGAGGTCTTCCCTACTGAGCGTGGCAGCCAAACCGATGAGACACGTTCGCCGTCTTGAGACTGGAGAAGGGTCTCCTCCAAGGGGGGTCGGAGAGGGGTGGGGAGGTAAAAACTTGTGCATGTGATGACGTTAGCGAAACGTTCCAGCGGGCACTTTGGCCTTGACGAACTCACTACCACGCTGCTTAAGGCCAAGACAGGTCGCACACACTCATGTCTCTCACAGCCGTAATACATCTACTCTCGTTTGTCAGAGCCACCTAGGCAGCATCGTACATACATTGCCGACCTGTTCGCTGATTTCGATGATATTCTTAGGTACCTTTATTTCATTCACTCTCTTAGTAGCAGTTGTTATGAAGGACAGTGGCAAGGATTGCGTTGTCGCATTCTCGAAGAATATTTATAACACTCGGCAGGCATAAAATATTTCTTTCCATAAATCTCCAAAATGTCTAGATAGAGAAAATGAATGGCTTCAATCGCTTGGAAGAAAATCTATCTCCAGATATGCTTCTGTGTGCTCGCATCCCTTCTCCTTAGATTCCTATCATGATCGAAACGCTATGAGGCGCTTGAAAAAATATGCAGTTCCGACAGAGAATCTGGCCTTAGATCAAACGCAAACTCCCACGTTCACGTTTGGCGTCTAACGCACATTTTTTTACCATTTGACCTGACGATTCGTTTCAACCAATGGCGGACCAACAGGTCTCCTCATCTCTTGAGAATGGAAACAATGCCAAAAATCATCGTAACGGATGACCATGAATGCTTAGAGGTAGAAATCCTTCGTCAGAAGCTGAAGAGAGCACAGGAGGTAATGAAGCTGAGAAAAATTATTTTCTCTCAGGTGATGCAAAAAGGGAACGGTCGTCGAAGAACTCTTTTAGACTGAGATACCTGAACAGGGAAAATGCAGTGAGGATGAACCGGGATCGTTAGGAATTAAATGAACAAATTGGGAATAATGGTGACGGAAAAAGGATTTTCATTACAGCTCCAATCTAATGTCAGACGGCTGGACATCGAATTCACAAAACCCATCACAAAAAGAAAGAGATTTTCGGTGTAGAAGACATTTTCCCAAGTTTCGGATTTCGCAATGTCATGGTCTTGCCCGGTTTCCCATGCCAAAGGCGTGCTTCGCTACCCTGTCCACTTCGCTAAGGGTATGCACAGCATACCCTTAAGTGCGAGGCGTTCCACCCCCCAAAACGCATTTCTGCGCAGATCTAAGAGCGGTCTCTCCGACCGCCCTTGGTCTCTTCTCTCATTAGTTTCTTTTGGAGCCGAGCCTCATCCCTCATTAGTTCCTCTAGTGGAACTACATGTCATATTAATGAAACTTCGAAGAACGGCCTAGTGGGTGACACGGTGTGGCTCTATTATTTTCAGGAATAAGTGACGATTAAGGACGAGTGCAGTTTCATGTTCACCAAGAAAAAAGTTGATAAGATGGTCTTCTTGATATATTAGAGCAAAAATTGGAGCACTTCCACACTTCAATCATAGGCGCCGAACCCAGGGGGCAAAAGGGCACGTGCCCCCCCCCCCCCCCCCCCCCCCCCCCCACTGACCCCCCCCCCCCCCCCCCCCCCCCCAAGAATAGCTAAATTTCAACAAAAGTATGCCACATGGAAAATTGGAAACAAAATGCTGCTTTACAAAAGAAATGAAAAATAAGATTTTCTTTTCTGTTTTAGAGCTCCAACTGGGGGAGATCCCTGAGTCACTCCGTAAGGTAGTGGTTCTTAAACTTTTTTGGCTGCGACCCAAATGCTAGCTCGGCATGGTTAGAATCCTGACTGCCGTTCTATAGCATTTAACAGACTAATAGGAGGAAAGGCATGTTTGGGTAGCATGAGTGACCTAGACTATAAAGGAAAGTTCGGACAATCACTGGCGACCCACTCAAAACGGCTTGGCCCAATGGGTCGCGACCCAGGGGTAACCACGACCGTAAGGGTATGGGGGGGGGGGGGGGGAGGGAAGGGCCATGCCTAGTACCCCCACCGCCCCCCACTCGTCAATGCTACCCCAATGGATCCTGAAATAATTCCGTCACTGTTATTTCAGGGGCATTCGGAACTTGCCCCCCCCCCCCCCAATTTTTTTTTTATAAGTCGGCGCCTATGACTTCAATAATTCACTGGAACATTTATTACATCAAGGGTGCCCTCGATTCATTAGAAGAGCTCTCTGGTTAAAAAAGAAAACTTGAAAACAAAATTGTTAATACGTAGACCCGTTTTATTTGAACATTTTTGCATTTTTCTTGGCCTTTCCAGCCTTTATGCCTTTCTCATTCTCAGATCTATTGTTTTGATATAAAATAATGAAAGGCAAACAATTGCATGGTGCTAGAGTCAAAGGCAGGCACTTAGCTAGCAACTCATAGGAAGCTGTAGGAACTGCATTGTGGCAATATTTTATCAGGTAGCACCACAATGCAGTTCTTCCCTATAGCGCCGATGACAACTGGCGACAATTGTGGTACGAAGCGGTAGTCGCAAGTAATTTCTTTACAAGACCCAACCACCGAAAAACCTGGTTTCATTCTTCCGCTGCAGTTATGGTCATTATCAGTCGCATCCGAACTGGGTTCGGCAGATGTGACCATTTATAGACGCTCCTTATAGCACACCTATTTTACAGGGATGCGAGTGCTCTCTTTCCCACAACACATACTGCGTATTTGGCGATTCCTCCATGAAGCCGATCGGAAACGTCAGCAGGGAAAGGAGGCAGTCTATCCCCGCAGTTCAATGCATTGCTGCAATCAGCAAAGAGACAGACAACAACTCGCTGAGACACCCTGTTGTTGAGTTCTGCGATAATATAATGGATGAGGTCTGAGTTCCCTGAATGCTGTATTTAGAAGACAATTAATAATACACACGTTCGGGGATTGAAGCAAACTTTTGAGGTTAAGAATAGTTTTTTTTTTTTTAAATCCTAGCATGGTACGAGATTTTCTCCCTTTCAGTCTTCTAGGTTGAAGGTACTCTGGAACATTAAACCAGCCTCTATTACCATATATGAGGATCCTGTGCGCGCATGGCTTCTCGTTCTCATTTTTACTAGGTTTTATCACTGAAGTATTATCAAGAGAGCCTCTTATTTGCCCGTGTTTAGTTCTAGAGAAGTTCTAGTTTTAGAGCAGCAAAGCATTAAAAATCACCATACAGACAAATTGTGACAATGTGAAACTTTTAAGACATTCTTTTACTTCGATATATCACTAGACCTACCTTACCTGACATTTCAATAAATTACTCCATGCTTCCAAAATTTTTTAAACATCCATCAGACAGTGAACCAAGAAAACCCGCTTTCGCATGAATAAAGGGCGGGAAGAAAAAAACCACTAAAAAATTTATCAGGATTATGGAGGGAAAACGCTGACGGGAATTATCATAATTAAGCAGATTGGAATAGAATGAGTCTGGCCGTGAGCGCCGAAAATCCGGGAGATGTGTAGGATTCAATTCCATCCTGTGGAGGTTTCTATCTGGATCGACACTTGGCTGGCGGTGAAATTGCTTACTGGCTTTTTAGCATGCAGTGCATGTAGGCGCCACGCTCATAAGCCTCTTACTCTACAGCCTTCACCAATTAACCAAGCCTGAAAGAAACTTCCCTTGCCCATACCCGTTTTCTTCTTAATGTCGCCAACTATCTCTGAATATCAACTATCAACCATAATTATATCGACTGTTAATGAGATACATCCAAAGGAGGCGATCTCGAAAATTGATTTCTGCTACTGACTTTTCTTTCCCTTGTGGTTTTACAAAAGGTTTGGATTCGATGGGTGAAGGGGGGTGGGGGGATGAACCGCTTTGCAAACAACTGTCAATCCTTCAGCTTCCCAAGGAAGCATCTTCACCAATTAGGCTAAAAGTAACAGAGTTGAAGTAGAGCCCTGCACAACCAATACTGATAAAAACACCCAAGCCTTTTTGCACATTGCCTTACATTATGAGAAATATGGAGTTCTAATTACTGCAAACATTTAGCAACTGCATCAGTATCTTGAAAGTTCACATCTATGCAGTTGCCAAAGAAGCACACATTGCAGAAAGAAAGGCAAACAATCCTGAAAGGAAACTAAAGATTTTTCATGAGACACTGCAAAATGAGACCATGAAGACAAGAAGCTGATACAGAAAAGAACTTGGACAGTTTTTTTTTTTACATGAAAAGCATTCCCTTGATGGACACCATTCAGAGTTCAGCTGACCAGATCCATGCATCAGTTCACTGAACAACTGCTCAGAATTGAAGCAATATGGATGATGCTGATGATAGTGATGCAAAGGGAGAAATTCATTATAATCTTTTTGCATTCAATTATGCCCAGAAGCATAGAGACTCTTGGGAGGATACATCACAATTCCTCATTCACTTCTCAAGGCAGAGTGTTGCTGGTAGAGGAGCTTTCTCCCTGAACTCCTGATGCTTCTGGTTCTCCATCCTCTCCAGCTTCTTCTTCATCATCATCTTTCTTATTTGCATCTGGCACCCAGAGTCCTGAATCCACACACCGTTTCATATGATAGCGAGCTTCATCTTCTGGCATTTTGGCAATCACCTCTTTCAGCATGTTTGTATCCTGAACCTCAAAGCACTTTTGCAGATCCTAGGAAAAAGAAAACATCATGTAAAAAAATGAGCACGTAAAACTGAACTTTTACAGATGAGCAGAATATAAATTCCACTAGCATAGCAAAATTGGCTTCAGTGATATTATATGAGGTGCTTGCAAAAAAGTAATACCTTAAATTCAGCAAAATAGATAGCAGCAATCAGGAGCTACAGGGGGAAGTTATATACCATTGGAAAGGCAACTGAGTTCTCTACATGTGTGCAAAATCATCATCATCTACATCATCTACATCAATCTACATCAATCTACATCAGGCATGCAGATTGTTGTCAATAGTGATTGCTAGCAAAGCTGCAAAAGAAAGGCCACATAAAAGCCAATATGTGAGAGTTCAATCACGCAGGTTATATTCACCAGTGCTGGGAGGTCAACATGTCTGCTGCAATGAATGGATTGTGTCTAATTGTTATTTGCCTCTCTGTCATATGCCAATGCCTATCAGTGAAACTTCTTTCTTCAATGCTTTGGGATATGAAGGCTGCCACAGGGTGCATTTTTGTGGGTTCCAGACAAAACTTTGATGGTGATTCCAGAATTTAATTCTCTTTTCAACAGTAAATAAGTTTCAGCTGCAACACTTGTATGTTGCTTTCTACTTCACTAATTCTTTCCACTTACTCAAATATTCTACTCATATCTACAAACTATAGCATGAAGGACTTCCAGTTCCCTTATGTCATTCTCCACACCATCTCTGAAACTTTTAGACATTGATGGTATTCAAATGTTCATTTCCATCAAATGAGGAATGCATGCAAACCTAGTCAGAGAAAAGGAAAAGCACATGCACTAGATGGCATGTGTATGTATGAAAGGATTAGAGTAATCTCTCACCAACCGCAGTTTTGAGCATTCAAAATGTATACCATTTTACCAACCATGGTATAAGGTTTTAGGTATATGCAGTTTCAGGTGCTACTCATTACTTTTGGCTGCAATAGTTTTTCTTAAATCTGAATAATCATGATGCATTTTAACAGAAGAACATCAATACTTACTATTTATGTTTAATTCAGCAATTTTATTTACTTATTCATAACATACAGAGGATGGGCACTAAGTAACTGAACACATTTTAATTCGGATAGAAACAAAATGGTTCAATGGATCTAGGAGCTATTTGCATTTTTTGGAAGTACATTTACAAGAAGAAAAAATACAGCAGAAAACTTCACTTCAGGTGCTCAATATGTCTGCCACTTTGGTCTATACAAATTTGAAGCCTTTTTCAGCATGTTGCAGCAAGCTCAGGAACATACGAGGGGTGGTCAAAAAGTTCTGAAACCATGGCACTTCCAGTAGGAATACACCATTTTTACTCTTATTGTGGAAAGACAGATGTCTTTGATGTTGACTGGCAAAATTTCATATTTGTCGACTAAGGATAGCTTCTATGATTTCTTTTCAATGTGCCATCAAAGGGTCTGTTGAAGGGGTATTAAAATCGAGACGAATGCTGTGAGGAATTTTTTAACCTCTAAGGAGCTGACCTACCAGCATATCTTTCAGAGATTGAGAGGATCAAGTCCCTACTGACCCTCCTGTAAAAATTCCTCACAGCATTCATCTTGATTTTAATACCCCTTCAAGAGACCCTTTGGTAGCACATTGAAAAAAATTCATAAGCTATCCTTAATTGACAAAGAATATGAAATTTTGCCAGTCACCATCAAAGATATCTGTCTTCCCATGATAAGATTCAAGATTCAAGATGAGTTGTGAAGATGTGGTTGGTAAAACCCATGGCTTATAGGGAAATGGCTTAGGGGAACCCACTTTCAAGAATACTGGGTGGGCACTAAGTAACTGAACATGTTTAAATTCGGATTGAAAGAAAACGGTTCAATGGATCTAGGAACTATTTGCATTTTTTGGAAGTACATTTACAAGAAGAAAAAATACAGCAGATGATTCAAGAGTAAGAATGGTGTATTGCTACTGGAAGTGCCATGGTCTCAGAACATTTTGACCACCCCTCGTATGTTCCCAAGAGTGCCGCAACATGCTGAAAAGGCTTCAAATTTGTATCGACCAAGACGACAGACATATTGAGCACCTAAAGTGAAGTTTTCTGCTGTATTTTTTCTTCTTGTAAATGTACTTCCAAAAAATGAAAATAGCTCCCAGATCCATTGAACCGTTTTGTTTCTATCCGAATTTAAACATGTTCAGTTACTTAGTGCCCACCCTGTATTCTTGAAAGTGGGTTCCCCTAAGCCATTTCCCTATAAGCCATGGGTTTTACCAACCACAGTGTTTTCCAGGTACGTAACCCCCACGGTTGGCAAGGGATTACTGTATTTATAGCATGGTTATGCCATGGACATGGTATATCAATGGATTGATGTTGCCATCAAAGGTACACAACACCAATGGTTTTATCAGGCATTGCAATGGACACTCTGAAAAATTAAAATTGCCAGAATAAAAATTTGCAGATGTGTATATAATGCTCAATGGATGGTATTCCACAGAACCAGGAAAGTGGGAGCAAAAGAGAAGAAAAGTTAGCCAATTAGCCCAGTCTAGTAAAGGGTCTCCTTTCAATGACTTGGGAGCAGGAGGAGGATGTGACCAACAGGTGGGAAATAAGTGTGGATGGCAACAAAGGATTTGACATCTATGAAGGCTGGAAGGAAACTGACAGCTCTGGTGGGAAACATGACATTGTAATCCAGGCTAAGCATAGCATATGATGTACCTTGGGATCAGGCTCTTGGGAGCCTGATGCCTGCTCATGCCTTTCCCGCTTTGAGCAATTTCAAAATTCAAAATTTGCCATTAAAAATAAGTTTGCAAGAATTTTACAAAATCCAACTTAGCCTGTCACTTCCTCATATCCAGCTGAATACCAGTTTCCACAATGATCAGGTCAATACTCAATACTCTTTTACTTCTGACAAGCAACCCACCAAAATGATGTGAGAGAAAGACAGACAGAAAAAAAAAGAAAGAAGGAGGCTGGTCCCTCAATGTAAGAGACAATGACAGAGCAAAAGATAAGACTGCAACACAACTTCTAGACTGTGCAGGGCTCTTCACTGGCCCAGACATCATCCTCAATGACACCTTTCCATCCTTTCTTTACCACATCATTCACCATTTATTAATGATAATATAGTTTCCAAGTTCAGATGCAATCCATATAAATGGCATTGCTAGGCACCTTCTTTGATGGAATTATTTTCAAGGGCCTCTGCCTCCCAGAGTTCCCAAACCTTACCCCACAAGGCTATTTTTTGTGGGGGTATCTGAAGGGTAAAGGGTATTTCACACTTTGCATGTCCTGTCCCCTTTACAGCAATGCTTGGGCTGATAGGCTGATGTAAGCTTGCCCACACATGTCCACTTAGATCCAAGGGTTTTCACAAAATGCAAGGCTTGCATGTGGAGTTGGAGCAGTTCAATTAGGATGTCCTTATGAGGGAGAAGCTTTAAGAGAGGAAGTAAGTTCACCAGTATATTAAAATGGTATCATATCTATGTGACAAGATGCATTGGCATTCTGTCAGCACCAATGGAGGCAAAGGTATGAATGCACAACATGCAAACATCTTGAGCTTCCTGCATGTATTTCTATACTATATGGGCATCACACACAAGAGAAATAAAGTGTGAAATGGCCTTATGCCTTTAGATCTAAACAGTGTTTAATAAAAAAAACTGTGCCAAATCATTTTAGCTATTAATGACAGTAAATTTTATCAAATCAACTTAATTTTTTAAACACTGCATGTAGATAGAGGAAAGAAAGCATGTGCCAAATTTAAAGAAAATTGACCCAATGAATCATGTTCTATGGCATTTCAAATTTGACATGTAAAAAAGTGTGCCATAGAAGCTCAAGAAAAAACTTGCAAATTCATATTTTTTTATCGAAATGTTAGTAAATTTCATCCAATCAGCCCAATATTTCACAAACTGCATGTGGATAGATGAAAGAAGGCTCCTGCAAATTTTGAACAATACTGAGAGAATGTATCATGTGATACACCATTTAAAACTTAAAGGCTAAGAGAATCCAACAGACATGCCAGCTGGTGCATTTGTCTAAGCCAGTGAAGCGAACCACCATTGCCATTCTGGATGGCACACAGACGCTTGCTGTGCAGCTGAGACGAATGCATCAGCAGGTATGTCCGGTGTAGTATGGTAAATACACTTGCCTTAACTTTGGGTGCATATACCTGCTGCAAAAAGGGTGTGGGCAGAGCATTTTATTTTTGCAAATTCTATCTGTCCCAATAAGAGTTGCATACAGCACAAATTATATACAACCACATGGCTACCACATGGGTGACATCCTAAACTGGCCCATGTCCATGTAAAAGAAAGTGGATTTGGCACATGCACATACTGTCAGGTCTGAAGAGGTTAAGAATGGATAGGGGTTGAGATGGTTGACAGTCATAGGGGTGAAATTGTTCAATGTCAAAATGAATAAGGGTTAAAAATTAAAGTTCCAATTTTTCACAAACAAACACTTTTCTTGACTAGATCTCTGTCTAATGCTGTACAAGGGTAGCATTTATGTGCTACCATCATTAGGAACCATTAAGCCATGAGAGTTTATTTTTATTCTCAGACAGGTCACCTCTGACCAAACCATTGTACTGTATAACATGTGAAACACCTGCAAAGGGAATTTACTCCTGCTACTACCCACCCTGTATTATGCAGCATATCAGCCTCTAACCATTTATGCTCTCTTATAAGAATTCCTATGTATGCACTGATGTAAACAAATGCAATAACATAAGGCTCTTTTGCATTCAAATGGGTTTCGGTACATTGGACTTCCATACAGGGGTGACAGATCTTTTCTAGGAAAAACTGAGACATTTTCAAGAAAATTCACAAATATTAGTCCCAGCAATGTGGAAAAGCCTGGACAGCAAAACACAAAGGAAAATTCAAACAAGGACATAGCCTGAAAAACTGGGAGGTCTGGTAACCATATTCTATACTCCATACCATAACCATACTAACATAACTCGTAACCTTACTCTATATATTATACCAGAATCCAATGAGACATCAACACTTTAAATAAGGACTTTCTTAAAAATCTGACTCAATTACTAGGTAGAAGCAGCAGTGAAAGCAGCTACAAGACAAGACTCACAGATGGAAGGCTCTCAAAGACCTCCTGAGGATCAAGGCCTCCTGGGCCAAGTCGTGCTCTTCTCTCTTCTTCAGCAGCTTCATCCAGTTTCTCACGAGCCCTCTTACGGATTCTTTCTTTGAATGACTCTAACTCATCTTCGAAGCCCTTCTTGTATGCAACATCTGCTAACTGGATTCTGGGCATCAAAATTCAAAGCATATTCATTTATATAATACATTTTTTAAATGTTACTAGTAACAATAACTTTGAAATCCTGGAAGGAAAATAACATCAATAAATGAGGCTAAGGTCTGATTTCACAGGTCAACATGCCATATTTCACAGGTGAAAAGAATTTATTGTATAAGCACTCAAACCTGTTGAAGAATGATGAAACACAGCCTCTGGGATCAGTTTCTAACTGCTTGGCCAACTCCAAGATGAATTGCATGCATATTGTCTGATGGGCAACATGGGCCATTAAATCATGTTTCTGAAAGCAGATATACCATATCATTACCTAAGGATATTCCATTCAGCATATTTCAAAGGAGTATCAGTGGAATAAAGACAAACCTCTTCCATCTCCAAGTTTATGCACCAGAAGACAAGGTAGTTTGCAGTATCCTCACAAACTAGGTGAAGCCTATCTTGCAAATATCGTTTGCTGTCTTCAAACTTCTGCAGTGTTCCATAATGCTTGAGTTCTTTTTCATGCTTCTTAACAAAATCTCGCATGCGTTTCTCTTTCTCTTCTTCTGTCAAATGCTCTACTTGTTTCTTTTTGGGGACATTGATGATTGTCTTTTCAAATCCCTCACGACATATTGTGTCAATATTCCATGGGGTCAACTGAAAATGAAACAAGAGAATCATTGAAGCTATGGTACAGTCAACTCCACTTATTAGAATATTGCTTAATGGAACACACCACTTAATAGAAAGCCGTTGTGTGGTCAACCCAAATAAGCCTGCCTCTCTCAGGTGAATGTGAAAGCAAGTTTGCCAGGACAATAAATTGAGTCTATAATCAACAAATCTGCACATTCTGATTCAACCATGGGAGAAAGTATCTCAGCTTTGATTAAAAGATTGCAGCATGGATGGCTATCAGAATGTAATGAATAATGGAAAATAAAATAGAAAAATTAACAATGCATGAGAGAATAGTGGATGTAAATTTTAAAAAATATTGGAAATGTATGAAAAATACAGTAACTACAGAAGAAAATAGAAAAATACAAATGCACAAAAAATGGGAAGAAATTGGACCAAAAAACAATGAATGCAAATAAAAAAGTATAAAGATTAAAATAGGAATGTTACGCATAATTGCTCTTAACAATTTCATTGGAAAACTGATGCAACTAGTTTACAAATAAATCAATATCCAAGGTGCCCCATCAAAACATCAGTTTCATGTCTGTATATCAAATTTAACATAGACCCCTTCATTCTTGGACTGGCAAGGAATGAGGGGTGGCAGAGGGACTGCTCTGGAAGAAAAAGCCATGAAGCCAAGGCAAAAACCTTTCAGTTTTCAAATGATTTGGAATTCTCTAACAATGATGCAGTTGACCTGATGATGAGCAAAAGTTTGGGAGACCTAAAGAAACAGAAAATCATGGGAGAGACACCCATGAGGGATATGCATGATTGCTACTTCTGCTAGTCGAGAATGGATGAGTCCAACACAAGGTGTGCATGTGGGATTGTCCACATAAAAAATTTTACAATTTGGCTTGATGCCAAATTAGGTCAAGCAAAAGTGTTGGAATATATTTGGGAATTGAAACATGTCATACATAATCAAATCTGAATGCTACTTTCAAACCATACATGGAATCTACAGTATGTTAGCTCAAGCAGTTAAACCATTTATTGACAATTTGTACACGTCACATCTAACTGTATTTCAAAGCATACATTGACATAAATGGTGTCAAAATATGAGGCAAAAAATTTTCCATTTTCATTTAATATATGTTTCATACATAGATGCAATATGACAATACATGACTTCAAATATAAAATTTTCATGTAGGTTTCTATAAGCAAATTTATTAAGAGAAATATTCACAAAACTATTATGATATTTAGTGACTTTCCTGATCATGGCTGAATAACGTTTCCTCTCTGATCTGATCAGAGAAATTTTTTTTTTTTAGGACTTTGGAAAACCTAATGCCTACAGAGAATTACAAAAAGTCCCAACTTTTACCCTTTACATTTTCCCATTTCTGGTAGTTCTTACAGAATTCAAAAGTCCTGAACCCTTATGGAGTGGCATTTCCTGCCTCCTGGAGAACCTCCATATAAGTGGATTAGCAACTTTCAAATGAGTTGATTGAAGGAAAGCTGATTTGATTACCCTCCAAAGGAGCAAGGCACAAAGTGAAATAAGTGGAAGTTTCAAGGATGGGAGAAGTGTGGACAGAGCCATAAAAGGAGGCATAAGGTGCCTAACTCCCCTTTGCAAACACCATAAATCACATTTATCATAATCTGTGGTGACTCATCCAATGAACATCATTATCCTCTGAGGTAATGATATTAATCAGATGAGTGATAAAACCAAATTTACTAGTTTCTGGATATTTTGACATGGAGTGACTGCTTTGTTTCCTTACTTTCTCTTTCTTCTCCAATTCTTCTTCTACCTGTGTGATCTTCTTCTCTTCAATTTCAATATCTGCAAGTCTTTTCTTGATGTCATCTTCTAGGGAAGGATCTCCCCCAGCAGTTTCCAGTTTCTTCTGCAACTCAGCCTTCTTCTTCACATACCTTTGAACCAATATAAAATGCAATGGATTGCTTTAATGGATTTTAAAATTGAATTTGTTCCTTAACATGAACTTTTTCACTTGCAAAAGCCCATCAATGAGCCAATTCCAAAACATTTGAATTGAAACAGAAAATATTTGAAGTAATTCTGAAATTATTGTGGCTCAAACATAAAAAATGAAGTTTTTGAAAGCTAAGTAACTTCCCTACCATAAGATGAGCCAGCAGGGCACACATTTCTCTCAAAACATCCTGCCAAATTTCTTCCTTCTCCCCATCCGATATAGCTCTTGATGGTGATAATTCTTGATGGAGGATATAACATGATAAAATTGACTATCAGGGGTAAGAGTCCATGAAGGTGCCATCATCACAAAATCTCAGCCAACTCTTTTCCCTTAAGAACCAAATAGCAACTAACCTCTGGAGACTCAATTTGATCTGTGGATATGCCTCCAAGATTCAGCCTCAAAAATGAGTTTTTAAGCATTCCATACCAAGAGCATACAGAGAGAAGGGGAAAACTACAAGCACAAGGGGTCTCTTGTTCCAAACACAATGGGGCTTGCACTCAAATAAAAACACTTGATTTGGAGGGTTTTGAAATTAGGTACTCTGCTTTGGGAGCTACCAAGCCACTCATCTGCCCCTGCATACCTAATCTTTCCTAAGAACCTTTCAATTTCAAATTATTTGACACCTGCATCATCGAATGATAGTGTAGGGAACAGAGAATCATCTGAACCACCTGAAAGTTCCTTTGCATGAGAACTTATGAACCTTGCATTCTCCCAGCAGCCAGCAAAAATAAAAAATAAAAGCACTTAATTTTTTACCTTCAGTCAAAGTAGCTGTTTGCAAGAAGCAGCAGCTACATTCTTTTCTTTGTGCTCAATATGCAATACAGTTCTTCAAGAACAGTAAAGAATACATTCATTAGCATTTAAAATCCCTGGATGAACAACTTCTTAAAGCTGAATTTTGTAACCCAATAAGCCAGTGACTCCGATTAAAATTTCACTTTTTAAATAAATTTTGCATATCATTATAGCTGCTCAATAATATTATAGATAAGACATGATGATCAATGGACAGACACTTGGCCTCTGATTGTCAAGATCATTGACCTCCTATTAGGATCAATATGTTTCTCTAGTAAAATTGTTCATTTTGCTTTATAAGAAAATTTAAATTGTTTGTGCTGTAATGCTAAGCAGGATGAAAGACTATCTTCTGAACATTGATCAGACATATTAGGACTTTATTTGCTGGGGAGAAGGTTAACCCCTTCGCTGGTGAGTTGTAAGACACAAAAAGATCTGTCAAAGAATTTCTCAGGGATACCAGTGAAAGGGTTTACAAGGGATCTCATCTAGGCATTTAAGAAAGCATGGATAATCAATTAAAGTTGTTTGTCTCAAGTGAGACCAGGAAAGAGGACTTTTTTTTTTGTCAGGTAGAGAAACCAATAATTAGTTACATAACAATTTAGTGAGTGCATATCTGTGGATAACTTTAACATTATTTTTTTTGGACTTGCCAAATGCAGTAACTGATAGTTCTTTTTTGAGACTTTAAATTGACTTAGGGAATTTGGGGCTTTAGCAGGTTCTTCCTTGCTATAATAGTACTAGTAAGCTTAGATACAGGTCACATGTATCTTACTCCTTTACAGATCATGTGTCTCATAGATATCTATTCTCTCTTTTGGACTAGGAGTAGTTCTTTTCAGATTCAAATATGCAGGGAAATAGAACTATCATAAGAGCGAGTTCCCATTGGAACTTTTGTTCCCCACATCCTGGGTACCAGTTTTGCAAATTTAAAGCACAAAATCCTTGAGTTACTCTCTTGAATCATCAAGCATAAAAATCTGAAGAACTCAACAGGCTCAATAATTTTAAATGAGAAAATATAGAAGAAAAATCAGAGGAACCATGCTCAACAAAACAGAATGAGACTCACATTGTTTTTTTTTGCTGGAACTCTTCCTTCTCTTTCTTTCTCTCTTCCATTCTCTCAACCCTGGCTTGGTGACGCCAGCGGAAGAGAGATGGTGTATCAATGTTTGGATGAGTGTCATCTTCATCATCAGAAATCTATGCAGGAGAACCAAGGATATAATTTTGATACCAATAGAAGCAAAAGACTATTGCATAAAATTTGTCAGATTTCGTTGCCTGAAGGCCTGTTCATTAGAAATGTGAACCATGTAGACTTTGCTACATAAGTTGCACATGCTGGAGAACGACAGTAACAGATGAAATTTAAAGAAAGAATGAACTATTAGGCATTTTCATAAGCACCTTGACTAGTGATGGGTTCAGGGTGCAGAGTTGAATGCTGGAGCTCAACTAGAGTTTCAATTTTAGATGAGAGCATTTAATGGCCAAAGGCAGATTAAATATCAAGAATTTAAAGGCTATAATTGAGATCTTGAACCTTTGCCTTCCCATATGACAATATAATATACAGAAACGTGCATGATTAAGCATAAATATACATTACCAAATGGGTCCATTACAAAAGGAAGTTCATGAAGCACCATATGTGGATGACCAATTCAGCATATGCATGATTTTTGCAAAGTGAAAAACTCAGTACAGTCAAATTCATTTATAACATCATCAAAGGGATCAGGGAAAAAGCAATGGAACTGACCAGGTCCATTGCTTTCCCTTCAAAGTTGGACTTGTAAAGGTCTGACTTAAGCTTCAGTTGCACTGACAGTCTAATCCTGGTCTGGCTTTCGTGCATAGGAAAGCTGGACTTGAACAAGCGACATGCTGCTACTCCTCACTGAAAGCATTCCCAGGACAGGAAATATTTTGGCCATGTGTGGCACATCCCAAAGCAAAATCAATAAAGGTGTTTTGCATGCTTTGGCTCAGGAGGGAGAGCTAGCCATATGGAAAAATCACATATGATTTAATGAGAAATGGGGATATATGATAAATGGGACATATATGGTCTATCATAAATGATATGAACATATATGGGGAGAAAAAGCTGATCACATCTTCTAACTGAAACAATGAGCATATGATCATATATGGCAAAGCCATATAAGAACTTTATAAAAAGCATGTATGTAAAAGATATGGAGAAGCAGATAAGATACTCATATGACTTAGTATGCCTACCTAATACATAGAGAGGGCATATATGTCACACCTGATAAGAGACATAGCACAAGTACATCCCAAAGATATCCCCTTGGGACAAATGAGAAGTCCTAGAGATAATTACTAGGGACTTCTCAGCAATATCAAAATATCTGAGTGCCTTTCTCTCTGAAGTAGATTCATTTCCTGCCATACAGAACAAACATTTATTTTTAAAGGGTTGTTCTGTATGGTATTCTTTAACTAAAGATATCTAAAAGGCATCTTTAAGAAGTCTCGAATACATCCCTTTCAAGATGTCAGAAACCATCCAGCAGATGTCCTTAACCCATTCACGTACCTAACAGTCTCCAAGATGGCCTCAGTAGAAGTGTCCAGCCCATACCTGTCTGCCAGACAGGTGGCTTGTTAGTCAATGTTAGATGATTGTTAGATGGCATGATATGCCTTCTTCTATTTTCTAGTAGGCTCTTCTAGGTTTAGTGCACAATGAGGAATTTTTTTGGCAAATTAAATGGTATTTCACAGCAACTCTTAGTAAGAAAAAAATGGTATGCAAATGGGTTAATATATCCCATAAAGACCTTGGGACAAGTTGTCAAAATGGGGACATCACTGGGTTGCCACCATGCTGTGTGAGTACGACCATACCATATAAAATGTATACTGTACCTCCATGTATTTGGGATATATATTTCTAGCAATATATTTTCTTATGAAAGCATGCATGTTGAACATGTACAGGGTATAGCAAAAAAAAAAAGACCAATGACTTTCAACCTAAATATCTTCCCTCCCAATAGAGTTACAGTGAAAACTCGTTAACTCGAATCCTGATAAGTCTAAATTCTACTTATCTCGAAGTTCAATGCTTGGTCCCGGCGGAACCCCGTAGGACACCATGTTAAAAGCTCCATTTAACTCGAATTCAGGGTGAGATAAGGGGGGAAAAATTCTTCTCGTGAGACTTTTCGATTTTTGAATAGAATGAATGACAAGAAACCCTTTCGGGAGGATGCTCTTTTGTTTCTTTTTTTCTTCTTCTCCCTCCTCCCACACAGACGCCTGTGGAGAGGATTAAACCTGAGAATTAAAGCCGAAAAGCTTCGGCTATAAAAAAGCCTCCAACATTCGCCCTGTCAATCTATCACTCTCACTCCAAGCCATTCTGTCCCCTTATGTACCTAAAAGAGTTTTTTTTTTCTTTTCTTTTTTTTTGGGGGAAGGGGGGCGATTCCTGATAACTCAAACTTCAGATAACTCTAAACGATTAGCCCGGTCCCTAAAAATTCAAGTTAACGAGTTTTCACTGTATTTTCATGAAACTTTCACATTGCATATATGAGTATGTTTCCAACTGATACCTCAATTTTCACCTTAATTTGTTATGCCGAAGCAATTCTATCAGCAATTATTGAAAAGAAGTTAGACATTGAGAATGGACAAGAGCTCCTGCTGGTAGTGGAGTGGAGGACACACTCAAGCCCCATCCCAAGGAGGTGACAAAGCAGGAGGGAAGCCAGCCTAAAGCACACAAAACTTTCACAAGTCTCAATCAACTTACTTCAATATCTTTCCACTTGCTGTAGTCAACCATGATGAAATTTCTTACTATCTTGAACCTGTATTCCTAAGCTGCAGCATACACAGGTAAAGTGGGGACTGTGGACACCTTAGTCAGATCCAATTCTTGCTTTTGGTCTAGGATCTACACCTATCAATAAACAGATAAAATATCATCAATCACTAATCATTTGGTGTAATCTGTATAATATAGCATACTGAACCCTTTGCCACTGCCTATTTCATGAAGTGCATACTGCACTATAAAGGTTAAGAGGAGAGTAAAGGTATGAGAGAAGTCATGCTGTACCATCATGAACCTCACTGCCTTCTCCTTTGCACTCTCCCTCTAGGCTCTGACGTGTTAGTTATGGATGGTAATTGAATTGTCATCATCCATAACCTCACATAAAATAGAGGCAGACAAGTGGAGTAAGTACCCCTTTCACAATATATGCCCATAGTAACGTCAATCACATGAGGTGATTAAATCTACAGGGTACTTATAAAGTAACTAAGTCACTTTGGACTGTTGTAACAGCCAAAGAAATAAGCATATGGTAATGAAACTATGTAAGTAGTATAAAGGGACCATAATAATCATACTGATAAAAATAGTAATAAATAAAAGCAATAAATACACCATTTCAAGAAGATACTAAGTACTCTCCCCAAGCTTGAGAGGATATTGCTCACACTTGGGGAAAGGGCTCCACATTCAACATCACCCCCATCACCCCCTACAGTTGGGTCTTGTATCGTAGCACATGATCCCTATGTATGGGGTAGGTGAATGGCTCAGTTGGAAGTGACAGGGGACCTGGGTTTGATACTAACTGTATATTTTTAAGTGTGTGGTAAAGGCAATCCCTGAGCATGAAACACTCCTGCTTCTAGACAGGGGATGCTGAAGAATCTCAGTAGTGAAGGTCAAACCCAAGTAACATATCCCTTAGATATATACAGATCCCAAAGATTTAACCACATTGACATGAATTGCCAGAACTGACAGTTCTTTCATTCTCATATATGATTAATAGCCAAAGTGATGGAAAATTAGATTTGCCTTTATGAGAGGCACAATATGGTTAATAGGTCTAAAATTTTTGTCTCTCAGCTCAGGATCTCAGACTCTGCATTAATGGGCCACTATGGTGTTACATTTATGAATCTACAAAGTGTCCCATTTAGGAGGAAACATATGGGGGATTATTTATTTGCTTTAAAGTTGTTTTTATGCTCTATGCTCAAATTGCATCAGACGTCTCAGTGTTTCTCACATGAGTTAAACAATTTTTCGCTTGACTCAGGCATTAATGTATGAGGAACATCCCATGCACAGGTATCCAAGTCAAGTGAAAATTTCTCTTGACTCAATTGAAAAACACTAGAAAAAGTTCATAATGGAAAGAACGCCTTAATAAGTGTATCAACAACAAAGGTGGGCATGTACAGCATATAGTTTAACTATAAGGCTTTTCTATGTTTCCACTTAAAGGGGGNAACAAAGGTGGGCATGTACAGCATATAGTTTAACTATAAGGCTTTTCTATGTTTCCACTTAAAGGGGGCACCCTGTAGACAATATCACACATGGAAACGCACTACTCCCATCAGACGAGCGAACCACGTGGGCGGCTTCTGCGCAAACTAATGGAGCACACGGGGCCGATACATGTCTAGTTTCTTCCAATTTCTAATAAACCCACCCCCTGTTACTATCACGAGGGCTTAACATTACAGGGTTACACACTCGTATACGTACGCACTTACACACGACACTCATGCTGGGAATATCCCATAGATGGGTGTTGGAGTATCTAAAAGTGTCGGATTCAAGTAAAGAAAACAATCCGTAGATAAGCCTAGATCGTACATCAAGGACAGACATGATATTCCTACCTTAAGTAGGCCTATGCTTAAGCCTAGCCTACGGCGCTGACTTCGCGATGGCAAAGAACAAAGCTGACGTGTGACCCGACATATCAACAATAATTTCGCCGTGTTGAGTCAACCACCACACTCTGGATGTAGAGTGGCCAATGTAGTTTCATCAGTGTTGCGAGATTTCATCCACCTTGACATAGAGTACAAGCAAAAATACATACTACAGTGTTTCTCACTTGAGTCAGACATTTTTCGCTAGACTTCGACAATCAAGCATGAAGAACGCCCTATGCGCGAGAGTTCGAATCAAGTGAAAGATTGTCAGGCTCAAGTGAAAAACACAGCATTGTATATCTTTTCATTCATTCATTCATTTTCTTGATCGTCCATTCCGGCCTAATGGAGTAGCGGTTCACGCCTATTTCTAGAAACTTCTAAATCTTTCCTAAATAAATTATAACTCTCTTCTTAAAGGGATCCTTTAAGAAAAGAAATAGAATAGAAAAAGTCGAGATTTAGATTGGTTTTTCTCGAAAAATCTAAATCTGAACTTTTTCTTTTCTTTTGACGTCCGTTCTACCAGGGCCGCCCAGAGGTTTCCAGGGGCCCGGGGTAAAACTAAACTGGATACCCCTTGGGGCCCCTCTTGAGGCCCTTTGGAGCCCCCCTTGGGACCCCTTGATTCGTGGGGCCCGGGGCAGATTGCNCCCCCCCCCCCCCCCCCCCCCCCCCCCCCCTCTGGGCGGCCCTGCGTTCTACCTCTGAAGGGAGATCCAATCCATTTCTTCGGCACGTTTGGCAAGGTTATTTTTGGCAATCATACCTTAATGCGAAAAAATATTAAAAGCTCCTAAATCGAGCTCATAGTAAACGACGATAGAGGGAACCCCGGCATAGGTATAGTACATCCAAATGTTTTTTTTAGAGAGATGTCACTGAAGTATACAAGACAACCCATACATGAGGCAATAATCGCATTAAGGATGATCCCAGTGTCCTCCCTACTGTCATATCTCAGCTTGGAAGAACGCAAAATTGCTGGCCATATGAAAGCATCCGGCTTCTGAATCCTGCCGAGACCTAAACAAAATGTTTTGTCGATCTTCACGATCAGAGTGGCTCCCTTGCAAGACATTCAGGAAGTATAGCATTGTCAATCCGAAGCATTTCAGCATTCAGAATATTTAGAAAAAATTACAAATTATCCTGAACTTCACTAAATTAAACATAGAAATTACCCAGCAAACAAGGCAACATTGGACCAACATTGTACCAACATTCCGAACGTTTATTCGATGTTGATTCAACATTGACTCAACGTTATTTGTTTCAAATTGTTTGCAGGGTGATACATAATGTATTGTTGGTGCTGGGAAGCTGGAGAGATATAGAAGGGGGACTCTGGATTGATATCTCGCACAGGACGCCGAAGATCCTCGGTACAGCTCTACCTTTGCATGACAGGTGTTGTAAGCAAACTCTTCCAAGTCAGAAAAGGTCAAAGGTGTCATCGAGCAATTTCGTAATGGATACTTAGGATGGATTTTTGAACGGAACACTATCCGATAATACAGCTTTATTTCTGAGAAAATGCATGATAAATCCGGTAAATAAAGCTGCATTATCGGATAGTGCTCTGTTCAAAAATCCACCCTTAGAGTCTCCTTGCAGTCAACCGTCTCCGAGAACTAGCTTCTGATGCAACTTCCATGGCGGGATAGCTGCTCTAAAAAATGGAGTTGTCATGTGACCTACCTGGATAGCCATCAATAAGACCGAGTATTTTCTTTTTTGCATCGACAACGATTTGTATCATACATACAGGGAATGAGAGCCTTTTCTGTTTATGTAGAGATTTTCCTTGTCCTCGGGTGTCTCGATAGGGATATAAGTTCCATCAATAGCCCCGATGACATTTGGGGACTGAAATTCCTATAATAATAATAATAATCAGTTTTCACTTCATTCGCTGATGAATAAATCTCGCTCGCGCCGCGGGAGGATTTCGCTGACGGCAGGGCATATTCTCATAAGAAAAAAAAAAATCAGAACTGCACATGTAGGAGTGGTTGGTACAGTGCTGAGCGTCATCCCCCCCCCCACGCGGAGCGCGAAAACTTGGGAAGAAAAATTAGGCTAATAACCATTTTTAATTCAAATTTTGTTTCAAAATGTAAGTCTTGCCCAGTTTTGAACTGCACAAATTCCAATTCAAAACAACACAAAATATTTCAGAACTGCACATCTGTTACAACTGCACATTAGGGGCCAGGGGGAAAACCAAACTGGAGACCCCTTGGGGGCCCCCTTGAGGCCCTTTGGAGGCTCCCCTTGGGACCCCTTGATACGTGGGACCCGGGGCAGATTGGCCCAATTGCCCCCCCCCCCCCCTTTTGGCGGCCCTGTGTGCTACCATTTCTAACGCGAATTCAAAGAAAAGTACGTGGGACACATGCTCCTTCGGGAACCGAAATATTTATGAACCTTCTACATGATGAGATTATGAAAGTCAAGTTGATAATCAATTTAGAATGTTTTAAGACACCTCTTATTTGTTGTCTATTTCCAAGCTAAAACTTTTCTTGAATGAAAAAAAAATATAAAGCATAGAAAAAGTTTATAACTTCGAGAAACGGGCCCCTGGACTGTCTTTCAATGTTCCCGATCCCAGGCTAGACTGGAGCTCAACACATGGAATGCCGTTTCATGTTGAATAGCATCCCAACATTCAGTGAATTTCGATTGATTACATCCCCCCTACTACGGAAGAAGTGGGAATTATGTAATTCCCCCTTCAGTCCCTGATTTCGCCAGTTATTTTGAGACTACATTAGTGTCGTTGAGAAGGAGGTAGGGAGGGGGTGGGGGGGCAAATCAATCGAAAATCACTGTAGGGAGGGAGGGTAATGAGAAAATTAATGAGAAAAGGAATGAGAAAAAAAAATTTCCGGAAAATGGCTTGAGTTCTCATTATTAATGAATCATAAGGTCAGACATTGAACACCGTCGAATTGGATTAGTGAAACGATATCATTAATATTTGATGTGTGTAGCGTTAGGCAGAGTTAGAAAGGATCCCATTAAGGTACTGGTGGCGAAATATAATATAACGATCAGAACAGAACTCTACAGTCAACTTCGTCCAGACAGAATCACTAGGTTGGAATTCTCTGACGCTTGGGTTATACATGCAGCTATTGTTTATTCTTCGTGTATTATTAGATGTATCGAAAATTAATTCTAACAAGAGAGGGTGTGTCGGCCGTATGCCGACATAATATAGCTCGTTCCGAAAGTTTCTGATCCACTAAAATAAAGATGGAGATGAGATTAACGTGAATATATTGATTTAATTACATTTCACACGGCCAAGAATACAGTAGGTACCAACTCCATCATTTCTTGATTTGACTTCCGCGGACCTCCAGGAACCTCGGATCAGCGTATCGAAGCTCTCAATCAACTGACGGATGACATGTTGGTTTCTTATTCCTTTTAGAACCCAGGTAATGACTGAG